CTAAAAATAGAATTATTGTCCCATATCATGGGGACAACCCCAATACTTGAAATGGCGCGCGCTTACGGTCTCCGTCCCCGATTATGGCTCCTGATATCACTGAATAACATAGTAATGCATGGAAAAGCTTGTTGAGTTGCCTTCTGTAAGACTTCTCATTTAACTTACTAAGTAATCATGTACTTCCTATTTTTCCATCAAAATGACATTGTCTAGTTGCACCACCTTCAGCAGTGCTTTTGTAGCAAATAAATAAAAGGGAGGATTTCATGGTTCGACGCATGTCTGTATTATTTATTTGCCTGTGCACGCTTTTTGGCAATTAAAGGCCCAGTTTTACATTGCTTATGAACTAATCGCAAGCAAGTTACTGCTAATTCCGCATGCAAATAGCCGTAAAATCATTAACTGTAGGATAAATCATACGGGTCAACACTAAATTCAACGGTTGACAGCGTCAGTAAAATCCACTGAAATCTTCTGAGAATTTTGGCTATCGGTCGTACTGCCATGACTAACTATAGCATGTGATTACTAAACAACATCTGAGTGGGGTTTTTAAAGTAATAACATTGATAAGGAGTGAACAAAAGTATTTTGATTTAGAGACATGCGCCAAACCATGAAACCCTCCCTTTAATTTTAATCTGTGACAATGTCTAGCTACCGGCCGTAATTGGACACTGGGAATTACTTGCTCTAGGACAAAGGTTCTCTCTTTGAGCAAATTTTCAATGTGATCACATAGCTAGAATAGTGAACTCTGCAATTCCAGGATTCAGTTAACAAAGTTAGAGAACTACCGATGTTACGTACACCCTCATTAATTAAATAACCGATTACAGAAACGGCAGATGCTAAGCTAATTTAGTCCTTCACTTGCTCTTTTAAATCTTTATTCAGTTGATTACTAACTGGCTTTTACTTGATTACAAGGAAGTTAATGTAACATGGCTCACCTGTTGGGGACAAGATATACCAACTCAGATGGAAAAGTTTTCCTAATGTCATAGTTAAAGGCCATGACATTTGGTTCACTACCTAATAAAAGAAATAAAAACAAAATTATGGAAATCAGATTTTAACACTCTAAAATGAGATTCGCTCTTCTGACAGTTATATCAAACTTAAACTAGCACTGACTGGCTATTAAATTATATTGCAAAAGCAGTGGTTAGTGCAAATACATGTCTGTATGACTATATCATGTATAGTGGGATATATAGTTGTTAGAGTGTTGCTCCAGGGACAAGAATACAATGTTTTCTCTGTTTACTGTCGTGGTGTTATTGGGTGGGTAACAATTTTGACAGTGCTGCTAATATCAGTGGTACTAACATGTGGTGGAGGGTTAAAATCCTAAATTATGAAATCCACTGGAATCCAAAACCATTAGAATTTTGCCCATAGAAAAAACCTGGGCTTGCTATTTTTCCCTACAGATTGGGTTCAAGCTGTGACACTGGCATAATGAGTTGTCATATCACAAGGAAACTGTGGAACTGGAATCGGAATTGGAACTGTGACTTATCTCTTTACCCTACTTGCAAAAAGGTTTAGTTGTTCTCTTTTGTGTTGTTGTGTGTGTTTGTCTGTGTGCGTTGTCTGGATTGTTTATACTTTAGTGAGTTCTGGTATCTTTTTTTTTCTTGTAATTTAATTCGTTTTTTCTCATTTCTATCGAGAAATATGAATACGGGTAGTTTGTCCAAATTTGATGTCTTATCATTGAATGTTCGGGGAATCAGAGAGCAAGTCAAGAGGAGGAGTATACTTTCATACCTAAAAGATCAAAAAACCAAACATTTATTTTTTACAAGAAACATATTCAGAACGAGTCGATGAAAATATTTGGAGAAAAGAATGGGGTGGCGAGCTATTTTTCTCACATGGCACCACCCATAGTAAGGTGTGTGTATTTTAATTAATCCCTTTGCACAACCACAGGTTGATTATTCTTATGCCAATGACCCGGGCAGAATAGTGCTTATTACAATCACTCTTAATGGACAAAAACTATCACTGTGCAATATTTATGCACCTAATGATCAGGCCAATCAACTCTAATTTATGCAAGAGCTCAACAATTGCATAATCAATAAATCAGAGCTCACCTCGCTAATTGTCGGGGGAGACTGGAATTGTACTTTATCAAAAAAAGATAAGTTCAGAGGTGCACCTGTGGAAACCGTCTAGTTACCGTAATCTCATTCTGACCACGATGGAAATGTTTGACTTAGTGGATATTCAAAGAATGTGGCATCCAAAGTTACGCAAATTCCTGTAAGAATCAAAATCTCTTAAACTTAAATCTAGGATTGACTTTTTCTTAATTGCAAAAAATCTCTGGGGATGTAAAGAATTCGCAATTTACGCAATTTACGCAATTTTTTACGCAATTTACATTTTGCTATCTTGGCCCAACAAACCTCCTCGGGGACCAGGACTCTGGAAATTTAACAACACCCTGTTGAATGATATGCAGTATGTGAGTACGGTTCGGGATACATACTCTCACACCTGCAGTTATTATAGCCATGTGACGGATAAGAGGCTCTTTTGGGAGTCACTGAAAATGGTAATCAGATCTGCGACTATTTCCTTTCCCAAAATGTATCAGCAACCGAGAACAGGAATGAAGATGCAGAATAGACCAACTTGATGTTATTATCTGTGATAATGTTTCTTCCCCTTACATCGATGGAGTACTATGGGAGTATGACGGACTGAAAGCGGAACTTAAATCAATTTACAAAGAAAAAGGAAAACAGGCGATGTTTAGAGCAAAATACTGCTGGATAGAAAATGGTGAACGCCCAACAAAGTATTTTTTCAATCTTGAAAAAAGTAATTACAGCAAAAAAACTATCAGTGAGCTTCGATTACAAGATGACTCTACTATGTGCAACAAGACAGTGATTCTACAGCAAATTGAAAATCATCAAAGAAACCTATATGTCTCGGATTTAACCTTTCTGAAACTCCGTATGACACATTCCCTGACAATGTTGAATTCCCTAAGCTTTCAGAGGACGTGCAAGAAACCTTGGAGGGTCCACTTACGTGCGAAGAATGCAAAAAGATACTAGAAACCTTTCAGAATGATAAAGCACCGGGGGAAGACGCATTTACCATCGAATTTTTTACCTATTTTTATTTAAAGCTTTTAGGAAACGATTTAACAGCTCAGGAAAGCGATTTAATATGGAAAGAAGACGGCTCACTCCTAGATCTTTCAAACTGGAGACCGATTACACTCCTTAATGTTGATCTTAAAATAGCATCAAAAGCAATAGCCAAACGAATTGAACCGACACTACCAAACCTGATTCACTGTCAAGATTCACACCGAAGATCAAAAGGGCCCTGAACGTTGGAGCGAAAAACTCTCTTTAAAGAAAGACGTGTGGACTAAGATCTTCAAATCACTGAAAAACATTTGTAACGAAACTTAACTAAAAGAGTTTCAATTTAAATTAATCCATAGAACGATAATAACTAAGAAAGAACAATTCAGATTTGGTATTGAGGCAGACGATGAATGTCTATACTGCGGAGATAAAGATTCAATTGAGCGCTCTTTTATGGAATGTACGTTTACCAGATTGTTTACCCAAAAAGTCTTGAACTGGTTCAACCAAGTGAATGCGTGTCAAATTTCTCCTACTACAGAGGAGACCTTGTCAAGTATTACTGCAAGCTCCCACGACACAACAATACTTGGAAATTCAAGAACACTGCCTTATTTATGCACCATTATAATAATATTTATTCAAGCAAGTTTAATAGCCTAGCCATCTCCATTCAGGATTTTATCAGTAAGCTAATCATTAAATACAATCTTGAAAATTTGTCTTAATTAAATGTTTTATTGAGAAGTACTCGTCCCTCCTCAAAGTCAATATACAGTATAATGTATTGTAAGTAAACTGTATGTACCGTAAGTAATGTAAGTAGAGTATTATAGGCGAATCTTTGCTGACGTCATTGTTTACATTTTTCCTCATTAACATACGACTTTGCGCATAGAAGGCATCATGCTAGACACGATTTTACTAGGAAAACTTAAAGAGCCTGTGAAACTTAGTAAGTGGTGAAATTTTTGGCTCTTTGGGTGTAATATTCGAGGAGAAATTGGCTTTCAAAAACATCAGTATTTCTGTGTGGCAAAAGCGCTAATGAGCTCAGACATTCTTTGTAAAATTTTGAGCTTTTAAACCCTTGTCGCACAACAAGTATTCAATACATCGCGCTCACATTCCTTGGGACAGTTAATCGTGCTGTGCGCTTTCAATATTCAGTATTAATCTCTTTGTAGCTCCATCAGAAACTGTATCACTTATGGTAATGAGGCGAATATTGTAAACAAAGATTCTCCTATATTGTTAGTAGTGTAAGTAGCCCCTATTGCAAGTAATTGCATTTTCTGTAAGTAACTGTATTCAGTATTGTATTGCCAGCATAAGTAACCCATATTGTAAGTAACGTAAGTATTGTTCTGTTTGTAGAGTAGCGTAATGAGCATTGTAAGTAACGTTTGTAGAATTGTGTTTCGTAAATTAAAATTATTATTGAAAAAAAAGTATAAACCAGGAATAAAAGAGCTAACCAGATATATATTTTCAGCTGAAATCAAAGTAAATAAGAATTCAAATAAGGTCTTATAGTGAACATTAATTTTAGCTGTTTTATTTCAAACTCAATTACTTAAACAGTGATAAACATATCAGTAATCTAGCTCAGCAAGTACAGAACAAGATTTACAAATTTGAATAAAATCCCCCGGAGATGAACAAACCAAGACAATGGGTTAATTTCATATTCACTAGTAGGGAAAGTAGCAACTACAAAACAATATGATTTGACATCTAATATTGACATGATTGATGGACTCGCTAATGGTGCAGAGCATTCCATAGAGAACTTACACTAAAGAATTGACAATAAGAGAATTTCACCAGACCAAGTATTATTTGGGTATCATCTCCACATCCTGATATAACCAGAAAGCAACACAGAGAAATGTATACACATTTATACGAGACAAATATTAATAAAACCTGGACACCAATTTTAAAAGTAACAGGACAATTCCAAATCAATAAAAATATAGTAAAATTACTTGTACCCTGGAGTCATACTACAACAGCGATCGTGAGCTCCCTTGGCTGTGTCAAAACTCTTTTCCCACTCTGGTAGAAATGTGTATTATTAAGACTCCAGGATATCCAAGACAGGAGCTTTAGTTCATAATTAAAAGTCAGGGAAAACATGTTTCTTCAAAGAAGGATCTATGCTAGAGTGCTAACACTGATTATAGAAGCAACCAGGAGTTTATGAAAGCAAGCATGGTATAGCTTACATTTAGGACCAAGGTGCACAAGTGTAAAAAATGTAACAAAATTGTTGTAAGGGTTTTGATTAAGCAATGTACCATGAGACAACAATTTGTATTGGACACCTGGTTAACATGCACATAACAAACACCCTTACCTGGTGGAGGATGGTTGATCATATGTCCACATGCAAAGGGATTATTTAGTCTCTTTCCACATGGCAACTACACAAGAGAAGAGAACATTTACCATCTGCTGAACCTACACAAGTTTTTCAAAGTAACATCATTTCAATTACAAATACTGAATGCATCTTCCAAGGATAAAATCTAATATAAAGTGTATGTACAAAATTGTGGTCTTTAGATACAGGGACTCCAATAATGATTGAGTGTGTAGTCAGTATCTTGGCGAGTGACTTTCAGACATGCACCATAAAATGCACAGTTTCTATTTGCCTAAATGTCTAAAAGAGATCGAGCAAAAATACAGGACTGGATGAGATGACATGACGACATAACAACATACCATCACTACACTGGTCAACAAAAAACTTCCCTTTTTATAGGTTCTACACAATACTCTATAACCTCAAAGTCAAATTTAAGATACCTGAATATCAGTATTAAAATCCTTGGCATCAAGTATGCAGCTGTCATAGCGTGACATTAAGTAACAGTTGTCTTTACTGATATTGGGATAGTTGAGCATTTTTCGAACATCTTTTGCTAAGTACTGAAGAAAAAGAGAGACATAAAAAATGAGCAATAATTACGTACTACTAGCAAACATTCACATTAACAAATTATTATAAAGTATTTACTGAGTGACCTGACTGATGAAAGTCACAGTTTGCCCTCATTGTGGAGGGCTTAGGGACCTTTCATTATTTATGGGGATGACCGCATGGGGAAATCAGAAATACCTTTTTTCTTTTTCATTTTTTTCCTAATGCCCATCATAGTATCATATCGAAATTTCAAAGCCCGTCTTGATTCGTTCTAAAATCTTTCAAAGCCCGGTCAAGGGAAATAATCTTAAAGAAGCTGACATAAAATTGACACAGCAACAGTATGAAGTCGTTTTATGTATTTCAGCTTGTGTAGATGAACATTTTTCCATTTGTAAAACATAGGCTTATACTGGCAACAGTACATCATCTTTGGAAAATTTATATTTTGATTGGACAAAGCTATCAAAAAGCACGGCAAAACAATAATTAATTCATTGTTCAATGACGGTATTTCCAAATCGTTTCACTACAGCACCATGGCTTTACCTACGATATGCCCTTACCTGCAAGCAAGTGCAATATGATTGTTGAAAATTGTATTTTTCTCTCCGCTAACGTGATTAATAACTTGTAATGATCTGTAATGAGTATAACTGTACCTTTGCATTGTTATATTCTCGGTATCGTCACACTCAACGTGCAACATGTACATTTACTCTGGTTTGCTTGCGGTTTAAAAGCTCGCAATTTGTTGGTTAGGTAACACTATATAAAATTTAATAATCGGTTGTTTCTTTTGCTTATTGTTGTCAATACGCTTTACATACATACAGACAGACAGACAGACAGACAGACATACATACATTTTATTTGTTATCAAATTAAAATTACAATTATAACATGCCCGCGGATAGCTGAGCTAATCTAGGCTTTACGTTCTTTTAAGAAAAATATATACAACGGTAGTATGTTTGTTAGCCTGTAAGCTTTTCTACCGAAAAAGCACAATAATTTCGTCAATTTGCAATGAAAGCTGTCATAAAAGCCTGAAGTGATGACACATGTAACTGCAGTACAAGTACATTATTTTATCGCCATAAGTTTGAAGTGCTCTTATGTTTCCGTAAAGAAGGACATATTATTTTTCTGAACCCGGTCGTTTCAATCTCCAAAAATTTAGTAGCTCGTCAATTCAGAACGAATATTTTTCACAGCCTGGTCACTTTCTTCCAACCCGGTCATCCCCATTAATAATTAACTGTCCTTTACTGACACAGAGTGTATGGCCAAAAACTGCGTGGTGGTTCCAACTGTTAAGGCAGAGAGTGGAAAAGTCTGTATTTATAAATGAAACATATTGTGAGAGAAATTTACATAATTTTGAAGATATTCACTTTTTCAAACTTATGTTACAGTCAGATAATGAGTTACTCATGTCAGAAATAAAAGAACTAATGGTTAAAAGCTGCCAAAGCTATTGATGGATTGAATTTTACACCTCTGGCTACCTTTGTTGCATACAAATAGTCTTTAATTTGGGAACACTTACAGACTCAAAACACAAAAGATCAGTCCATTGCTTTTGCAGCCATTTTGTTTAATTTCCAATGTTCTAAAAAGTGAATTTCTCTAATTATTATCAAATATAGGGCAGCAGAAGTTGAAAAATTGATTTTTCTTTTTTTTCGTTTACAAATAGCCCTTAGGTAGATATGAAACATGATACAGTTTTTCTGAGTTCGAAACGCTTTAAATGAAAGAAAATCGAGAAAAACGATTTTTGCCTAACAGTCGAATGGCCGAATGCATAGGTGAAAAATTAGAAAACTAAGCTTAATTTGCATTGACATGTAAAGGAGAACCAAAACTTGTCGATACTTATTTGTCAAAGACAAAGTATTCAGCTATCCAAAACGGGTTAGAACTTGACTTGAACACCATCCCTGAGTAAACACTCAATTTTTAAGAAAGTCCCTTTGAATTACTACAATTGGTCAAATTCCCAATTTGCAAATAAAATTCAGAGATATTTTTCGACATGTGCCATAACTCCAAATTCCTTGAAACTTCGCCACTGAAAAACACTTTCAGGTTAAGATCATTCAAACTTAAAACAGAACGCCGAATAAAATAAACAGAAAACCTCCCCGCAAAGTTACAAAACTCAATTCAAAAGTCTTGCTTATCGTGGGTTAGCTTGATCAAGCTTTGAACAACCCGGCCCCGTAGCTCCCCTTTCAGGCTTGGCTAAATCTAACAGATATATTAAAAATTTACAGATGATGGACTGACCAACTGCTTCTAATATTTTACATAAATCTGATCACTCTTATAACTCCCTTTGGCTATAACCTATCAATTGTTAAAAATTAATGACTTACCACTAATCCAGGATGGAATCCTATAAAACTGCCAGGAACAGCACTACCCCTCAGAAAAACACCTTAGATGAACAGAATTTTATATTCACATATTACTTGGAAACTGTTTGCTTTTGAGTTGTACCCTTTGTTGTTGTAAAAGTTTCCCACCTCTACCCCAATTCACCTCCTTGGGTAAAACAAATTGGCATTTTGTATTATTGCCTCAGGTCTTCACATTGCTTTTATGAGACAACAGCTAATTTGCTGTATTTTACAGCAAATTTTTTAATTTTAACATTATCCTATTATCCATGCTACTAAGGTGTTAATGGTGATTTTTCTACCCTCACCTTTGCGAGGCAGATTTGACTTCCATTGTAATTTTATCTTTTTATAAAGTTGGAAGTACATGTAAAGCGGTTTTGTTTCACAAAGCCAAATTGTTCCCGTAGTATATTTGTTTATAGTGCATTTTTGCCTCCCAAACAGGGCTCAATATTGACAGCCAAGTTGTATTTTTATTCAGCAAGCATAGTGGGGCTGAGGTAGAAACATAAAAATAATTAAAACAAATATAATTAAATATGTGTCTGGATTTATGAAACACATGATTGCAGGTGTCAAAATTGGTGCAAAACTTTCATGCCTGACTGCCGGCAGTCAAGCCATTGAGGCACTTGAAGACCCTGGTCATTTTCTTTGCAGGGCAGCCTTAGCTGACTGTGCTGTGCTGTGCTTAGGGACCAGCAGCCAGGCAGTCACACACATGTAAGGTGGGTGAGAAGGCTGTGCAGTGACAGACAGCCTGTGATCGATCAATCGATCAATTGATTAATTGACCCTGTGCATTTCTTAGAATTTAGGTTGCAGGCTCGTTCTGTTGAAATTGACACAGCCTTTATAAATCCAGACACAATTATATTCATTGTGACAAACACAAACCATTTCCTGCAGCAGGATGAGGAATAGAGGATTTCTCCATTATCAATGAAAATGGCTCCTGGCAGAACCGATCAACATTCTGTTGTAGCTGCTTGTGTATGACTCCAAGATAATACTCTAGCTGTAAGTCAAATCAAATGAAAACTCACAAATCTTGTAAAACATAAAACAGTTTGTTTTTTATTAAATAGCAAAACGTATAAGATTGTGTTACTTACTAGATATAAAATGATTTTAGATTTAAATGCAAAGAGCCATTAATAATATTTACAATGCATTGAAAAAGTATCTGTGTTCAATGTGCACACTGCAGCTGCCTGGCAGATTCATAATTGAACCAACAAAAATCCAATCCAAGCAATTAACTTTCTCCAGCTTCAGGGAAACCTGATAATTATAAATCATCGATCCACTTGTAACCAACAATTGACCACTACTCAAGATCATTTCAAGCTACATTAAGTACTTACAACTCATGATTATCACACAATCAATGTAAATCAAGTTTTTTTTGGTTGTGTAACATTCAAGTTTGGATCTTGAATAAGGGTACATTCCTTTGGGATGATTTGGATCCCCAGGGATCAATGACCAAAGAGAGATCACTCAGATCATATTGCATCAAAGGAACTGATCAATCTACTCACAGCAGAGAGAGAATTAAGCTGCCTAAACAATGCTCAATATAAGACCAGTCCAATACATAGACATTAATGCTGATGTGCATTCAATTAAATCAACTAGTGTCACAAAACATTTATGCATTACATTTCTGTGATTTTAGTTAAGTATTATTTAATATGTATAATAATACAAATTAAAAACTTTTTGAATGTCACAGCAGCAGTAGGCATTCAGTTTAAACTCAAGTTAGAATACATTATACTTTCAACTGCTGAAATCCACCAACCACAACACATCAACAGCTTTGAAGAATTTGTCACTGAGAGCTGCACAAAAATTATTGACTGGAGCCTCAGGCTCATCAGTCATTTGGGTTTTAGTCCAATGAGATGTTTTGTAAATGTTGTGTACATGTAAATCCCTTCCTATGGATTCATTTATTGGAGTGTACTGACTCCCTCTGGATTTAACACCTGATTCACGTTAATATCAGTCCCCCGAGCTAAGCTATAGTTATTGCCAACACTCCACTGGCCTGCTGAATCAGGACAGATATATAGTGATGTCCCCTAAATGGGGACACTATAACCTTGAACTTTAAAATGTGATGTACACCTATACTGATGTACAGGGAACAGACAAATCAGTCTGTGTATACCTTCACTTATCAACATTTTGTTTATTTTAGTTCAGTAATGTTCTGGACCGAAGATCACAATTTGATACTATGCCGTGAAGTTCTCAATCTTAATCCATTCACTACAAAAACAGGCTCAACACAACAAAGTACAATTTGGGATAAAGCGGCTACAACACTGAATAATTGTTACTGTCTGGTAATGTTGACAAGCAATCTGTTAGAGATCATGTTGGAATATTACAAAACAGGCATAAAAAGAAATTGAGAGCTGAAGAAAAGGCAACTGGCATTGCACCTGATGAGTCGACAGAGTTGGAAAACCTGTTTATTTAATGTTAGAGCAAATAATTGCCCTGGAAGAAAGTGCAGAGGCAGAGCAACAGGAAACTGGTCGCAAGAAGAGCTGAAAAATAGCAAGTGATAGAGCAAAAGCTGAAGATATCAGGTTAAAAGCAATGGAAAAATTGAAAGACACTCAAAAAGGGCAATCAGATAGGATGGAGGACAATCAAAATAGGCGACCATGATGCAGCGGCAGCAGTACAATTTCTTATTTGTCACAAAGAGCTCACATTAACTACAAGCTTAAACAGGAGGAGTTGAAGCTAAAAGAGATCAACAGGAGTTTGAGAAAAAACAAATGGAAGTCTCTGTAAATGCACAGAAGCAGTTCCAGGAGCAGCAGAGTCAGCTTCTAAAAGTAGTGTCAACAACAGAGTCAACAAACACTGCTCATGATGCAAAAACAGCACCAGCAAACAAAGGCATTATTGAACATTATTGAACGTATTGTNCAGGACAATTCCAAATCAATAAAAATATAGTAAAATTACTTGTACCCTGGAGTCATACTACAACAGCGATCGTGAGCTCCCTTGGCTGTGTCAAAACTCTTTTCCCACTCTGGTAGAAATGTGTATTATTAAGACTCCAGGATATCCAAGACAGGAGCTTTAGTTCATAATTAAAAGTCAGGGAAAACATGTTTCTTCAAAGAAGGATCTATGCTAGAGTGCTAACACTGATTATAGAAGCAACCAGGAGTTTATGAAAGCAAGCATGGTATAGCTTACATTTAGGACCAAGGTGCACAAGTGTAAAAAATGTAACAAAATTGTTGTAAGGGTTTTGATTAAGCAATGTACCATGAGACAACAATTTGTATTGGACACCTGGTTAACATGCACATAACAAACACCCTTACCTGGTGGAGGATGGTTGATCATATGTCCACATGCAAAGGGATTATTTAGTCTCTTTCCACATGGCAACTACACAAGAGAAGAGAACATTTACCATCTGCTGAACCTACACAAGTTTTTCAAAGTAACATCATTTCAATTACAAATACTGAATGCATCTTCCAAGGATAAAATCTAATATAAAGTGTGTGTACAAAATTGTGGTCTTTAGATACAGGGACTCCAATAATGATTGAGTGTGTAGTCAGTATCTTGGCGAGTGACTTTCAGACATGCACCATAAAATGCACAGTTTCTATTTGCCTAAATGTCTAAAAGAGATCGAGCAAAAATACAGGACTGGATGAGATGACATGACGACATAACAACATACCATCACTACACTGGTCAACAAAAAACTTCCCTTTTTATAGGTTCTACACAATACTCTATAACCTCAAAGTCAAATTTAAGATACCTGAATATCAGTATTAAAATCCTTGGCATCAAGTATGCAGCTGTCATAGCGTGACATTAAGTAACAGTTGTCTTTACTGATATTGGGATAGTTGAGCATTTTTCGAACATCTTTTGCTAAGTACTGAAGAAAAAGAGAGACATAAAAAATGAGCAATAATTACGTACTACTAGCAAACATTCACATTAACAAATTATTATAAAGTATTTACTGAGTGACCTGACTGATGAAAGTCACAGTTTGCCCTCATTGTGGAGGGCTTAGGGACCTTTCATTATTTATGGGGATGACCGCATGGGGAAATCAGAAATACCTTTTTTCTTTTTCATTTTTTTCCTAATGCCCATCATAGTATCATATCGAAATTTCAAAGCCCGTCTTGATTCGTTCTAAAATCTTTCAAAGCCCGGTCAAGGGAAATAATCTTAAAGAAGCTGACATAAAATTGACACAGCAACAGTATGAAGTCGTTTTATGTATTTCAGCTTGTGTAGATGAACATTTTTCCATTTGTAAAACATAGGCTTATACTGGCAACAGTACATCATCTTTGGAAAATTTATATTTTGATTGGACAAAGCTATCAAAAAGCACGGCAAAACAATAATTAATTCATTGTTCAATGACGGTATTTCCAAATCGTTTCACTACAGCACCATGGCTTTACCTACGATATGCCCTTACCTGCAAGCAAGTGCAATATGATTGTTGAAAATTGTATTTTTCTCTCCGCTAACGTGATTAATAACTTGTAATGATCTGTAATGAGTATAACTGTACCTTTGCATTGTTATATTCTCGGTATCGTCACACTCAACGTGCAACATGTACATTTACTCTGGTTTGCTTGCGGTTTAAAAGCTCGCAATTTGTTGGTTAGGTAACACTATATAAAATTTAATAATCGGTTGTTTCTTTTGCTTATTGTTGTCAATACGCTTTACATACATACAGACAGACAGACAGACAGACAGACATACATACATTTTATTTGTTATCAAATTAAAATTACAATTATAACATGCCCGCGGATAGCTGAGCTAATCTAGGCTTTACGTTCTTTTAAGAAAAATATATACAACGGTAGTATGTTTGTTAGCCTGTAAGCTTTTCTACCGAAAAAGCACAATAATTTCGTCAATTTGCAATGAAAGCTGTCATAAAAGCCTGAAGTGATGACACATGTAACTGCAGTACAAGTACATTATTTTATCGCCATAAGTTTGAAGTGCTCTTATGTTTCCGTAAAGAAGGACATATTATTTTTCTGAACCCGGTCGTTTCAATCTCCAAAAATTTAGTAGCTCGTCAATTCAGAACGAATATTTTTCACAGCCTGGTCACTTTCTTCCAACCCGGTCATCCCCATTAATAATTAACTGTCCTTTACTGACACAGAGTGTATGGCCAAAAACTGCGTGGTGGTTCCAACTGTTAAGGCAGAGAGTGGAAAAGTCTGTATTTATAAATGAAACATATTGTGAGAGAAATTTACATAATTTTGAAGATATTCACTTTTTCAAACTTATGTTACAGTCAGATAATGAGTTACTCATGTCAGAAATAAAAGAACTAATGGTTAAAAGCTGCCAAAGCTATTGATGGATTGAATTTTACACCTCTGGCTACCTTTGTTGCATACAAATAGTCTTTAATTTGGGAACACTTACAGACTCAAAACACAAAAGATCAGTCCATTGCTTTTGCAGCCATTTTGTTTAATTTCCAATGTTCTAAAAAGTGAATTTCTCTAATTATTATCAAATATAGGGCAGCAGAAGTTGAAAAATTGATTTTTCTTTTTTTTCGTTTACAAATAGCCCTTAGGTAGATATGAAACATGATACAGTTTTTCTGAGTTCGAAACGCTTTAAATGAAAGAAAATCGAGAAAAACGATTTTTGCCTAACAGTCGAATGGCCGAATGCATAGGTGAAAAATTAGAAAACTAAGCTTAATTTGCATTGACATGTAAAGGAGAACCAAAACTTGTCGATACTTATTTGTCAAAGACAAAGTATTCAGCTATCCAAAACGGGTTAGAACTTGACTTGAACACCATCCCTGAGTAAACACTCAATTTTTAAGAAAGTCCCTTTGAATTACTACAATTGGTCAAATTCCCAATTTGCAAATAAAATTCAGAGATATTTTTCGACATGTGCCATAACTCCAAATTCCTTGAAACTTCGCCACTGAAAAACACTTTCAGGTTAAGATCATTCAAACTTAAAACAGAACGCCGAATAAAATAAACAGAAAACCTCCCCGCAAAGTTACAAAACTCAATTCAAAAGTCTTGCTTATCGTGGGTTAGCTTGATCAAGCTTTGAACAACCCGGCCCCGTAGCTCCCCTTTCAGGCTTGGCTAAATCTAACAGATATATTAAAAATTTACAGATGATGGACTGACCAACTGCTTCTAATATTTTACATAAATCTGATCACTCTTATAACTCCCTTTGGCTATAACCTATCAATTGTTAAAAATTAATGACTTACCACTAATCCAGGATGGAATCCTATAAAACTGCCAGGAACAGCACTACCCCTCAGAAAAACACCTTAGATGAACAGAATTTTATATTCACATATTACTTGGAAACTGTTTGCTTTTGAGTTGTACCCTTTGTTGTTGTAAAAGTTTCCCACCTCTACCCCAATTCACCTCCTTGGGTAAAACAAATTGGCATTTTGTATTATTGCCTCAGGTCTTCACATTGCTTTTATGAGACAACAGCTAATTTGCTGTATTTTACAGCAAATTTTTTAATTTTAACATTATCCTATTATCCATGCTACTAAGGTGTTAATGGTGATTTTTCTACCCTCACCTTTGCGAGGCAGATTTGACTTCCATTGTAATTTTATCTTTTTATAAAGTTGGAAGTACATGTAAAGCGGTTTTGTTTCACAAAGCCAAATTGTTCCCGTAGTATATTTGTTTATAGTGCATTTTTGCCTCCCAAACAGGGCTCAATATTGACAGCCAAGTTGTATTTTTATTCAGCAAGCATAGTGGGGCTGAGGTAGAAACATAAAAATAATTAAAACAAATATAATTAAATATGTGTCTGGATTTATGAAACACATGATTGCAGGTGTCAAAATTGGTGCAAAACTTTCATGCCTGACTGCCGGCAGTCAAGCCATTGAGGCACTTGAAGACCCTGGTCATTTTCTTTGCAGGGCAGCCTTAGCTGACTGTGCTGTGCTGTGCTTAGGGACCAGCAGCCAGGCAGTCACACACATGTAAGGTGGGTGAGAAGGCTGTGCAGTGACAGACAGCCTGTGATCGATCAATCGATCAATTGATTAATTGACCCTGTGCATTTCTTAGAATTTAGGTTGCAGGCTCGTTCTGTTGAAATTGACACAGCCTTTATAAATCCAGACACAATTATATTCATTGTGACAAACACAAACCATTTCCTGCAGCAGGATGAGGAATAGAGGATTTCTCCATTATCAATGAAAATGGCTCCTGGCAGAACCGATCAACATTCTGTTGTAGCTGCTTGTGTATGACTCCAAGATAATACTCTAGCTGTAAGTCAAATCAAATGAAAACTCACAAATCTTGTAAAACATAAAACAGTTTGTTTTTTATTAAATAGCAAAACGTATAAGATTGTGTTACTTACTAGATATAAAATGATTTTAGATTTAAATGCAAAGAGCCATTAATAATATTTACAATGCATTGAAAAAGTATCTGTGTTCAATGTGCACACTGCAGCTGCCTGGCAGATTCATAATTGAACCAACAAAAATCCAATCCAAGCAATTAACTTTCTCCAGCTTCAGGGAAACCTGATAATTATAAATCATCGATCCACTTGTAACCAACAATTGACCACTACTCAAGATCATTTCAAGCTACATTAAGTACTTACAACTCATGATTATCACACAATCAATGTAAATCAAGTTTTTTTTGGTTGTGTAACATTCAAGTTTGGATCTTGAATAAGGGTACATTCCTTTGGGATGATTTGGATCCCCAGGGATCAATGACCAAAGAGAGATCACTCAGATCATATTGCATCAAAGGAACTGATCAATCTACTCACAGCAGAGAGAGAATTAAGCTGCCTAAACAATGCTCAATATAAGACCAGTCCAATACATAGACATTAATGCTGATGTGCATTCAATTAAATCAACTAGTGTCACAAAACATTTATGCATTACATTTCTGTGATTTTAGTTAAGTATTATTTAATATGTATAATAATACAAATTAAAAACTTTTTGAATGTCACAGCAGCAGTAGGCATTCAGTTTAAACTCAAGTTAGAATACATTATACTTTCAACTGCTGAAATCCACCAACCACAACACATCAACAGCTTTGAAGAATTTGTCACTGAGAGCTGCACAAAAATTATTGACTGGAGCCTCAGGCTCATCAGTCATTTGGGTTTTAGTCCAATGAGATGTTTTGTAAATGTTGTGTACATGTAAATCCCTTCCTATGGATTCATTTATTGGAGTGTACTGACTCCCTCTGGATTTAACACCTGATTCACGTTAATATCAGTCCCCCGAGCTAAGCTATAGTTATTGCCAACACTCCACTGGCCTGCTGAATCAGGACAGATATATAGTGATGTCCCCTAAATGGGGACACTATAACCTTGAACTTTAAAATGTGATGTACACCTATACTGATGTACAGGGAACAGACAAATCAGTCTGTGTATACCTTCACTTATCAACATTTTGTTTATTTTAGTTCAGTAATGTTCTGGACCGAAGATCACAATTTGATACTATGCCGTGAAGTTCTCAATCTTAATCCATTCACTACAAAAACAGGCTCAACACAACAAAGTACAATTTGGGATAAAGCGGCTACAACACTGAATAATTGTTACTGTCTGGTAATGTTGACAAGCAATCTGTTAGAGATCATGTTGGAATATTACAAAACAGGCATAAAAAGAAATTGAGAGCTGAAGAAAAGGCAACTGGCATTGCACCTGATGAGTCGACAGAGTTGGAAAACCTGTTTATTTAATGTTAGAGCAAATAATTGCCCTGGAAGAAAGTGCAGAGGCAGAGCAACAGGAAACTGGTCGCAAGAAGAGCTGAAAAATAGCAAGTGATAGAGCAAAAGCTGAAGATATCAGGTTAAAAGCAATGGAAAAATTGAAAGACACTCAAAAAGGGCAATCAGATAGGATGGAGGACAATCAAAATAGGCGACCATGATGCAGCGGCAGCAGTACAATTTCTTATTTGTCACAAAGAGCTCACATTAACTACAAGCTTAAACAGGAGGAGTTGAAGCTAAAAGAGATCAACAGGAGTTTGAGAAAAAACAAATGGAAGTCTCTGTAAATGCACAGAAGCAGTTCCAGGAGCAGCAGAGTCAGCTTCTAAAAGTAGTGTCAACAACAGAGTCAACAAACACTGCTCATGATGCAAAAACAGCACCAGCAAACAAAGGCATTATTGAACATTATTGAACGTATTGTGAATAAATAATAACTTATCAACAATGTGCAAAATAAAGCCCTAAGTGACTTTTAGTTGATTTTCTGGTAAGGTTTTCAATTGCATTTTTGATTGAGATCTGGAATGTAATTTTTTGTTTATTAAAGCATATTCCTAAGCCATTGTAGTTTTGCTTAGAAAATAACTCAAACCCGATGTAGAGAGGGGGGGGTGGGGGTAAAAATACTAGGAGTTATTTTATGCTGCTTACATCTCAAATTTTCATTTAAGAGCTTCTGCCTGAGAGACCGGGGCAGACTTGGAAATAAAGGTCAGCTGATTACGCTTAAAATTGATACACAAAGTCGTTATGTGGACTTATGTAATATGCCAAAGTTTCAGGTTCAATGACCTTCTTTCAGTTGAGTTCTGGATATCAGCCCCTCAGGGGTCCCCAGAGGCTGATTTTCAGTGCAATTTTGGCTACATTTCAATCTCTCTATTAGCAATGTAAAATTAATTTCAGACAAAAACAAAACCATATTTGTAATGCCCTATTCTTAGGCTTCTGTGGGTAAAAACATTAGCTCACGCGAATCTTTTGTTAGTCTGTGGCTGTTATCACAACTTGGTCCTATCTGAAGCATACTGAAAGCAACCGGAAATGGGCTGTTTTTCAGACCGCATATTTTCCATGCCCATGTTTTATATCGTGAAGTCTTAGTATTCCTACAAAGTTCAGCTCTTAGTTTAGTAATATCAAGA